GTCGAGCCGCTGTCATGAGTGGCGCCCCAGCCACTCACCATCCCCACTCGTCCTTCTTCAGAGAGCAGGGCGGCGAGGTTGGGGCTTGGAAGGCAGATGGGAATGACGTACTCGTTAAAAGTGACGTCGCTGCTCAAGTACAACAAGGCGATGTCCCCGTTGTAGTTATTTGAATCATAATGCGGATGGGTCCAGCTCTGTTCCACGCTGATCTTCTGTTCTTTGAATTCTCTTTGGTACTTGTCAAAGTCTCCTGGAGTCAGGACAAATAAAAAGGGTTAAGCAAGCTGTAAACAGCCTGTACGGTGTCATCATGGTGGCAGCGCAAGGACAGGGAATTAATGCTTTGCCCACCTGTCCCAAGGCGCAGATCACAACACAGCCTGCTCTGTAACGATATTATTTTAGCACTTCTGATCCTGCAACTCAAGCTTGCCAGCTTGTCCTTTCAGGGCAGAAACCAAGTTGGTGCCTGGATGAGTAGATACCCACAGAGATTATGGCTTCTGGGGATTTTACCATAAATCCTGTCAATGCTTTTTCAGTAAGCACTGCAGTTTGAACCGTTTATCTAAGCTGCTACGGGGCTGTGTGGTCCCCACTCAGGAACACTACGTAAGCATTAAGCTGCAGCCATGGATAAGGCTGAAGAATTGTTTCCTGTTGTCAGCCAGGGCTGGGCTTTCTTTGCGCCTTGACTGTCTCCACTTCAAGCACAAGCCTGTGTTTATTGCTGCGCTCCTGCTGCAACAGGGTGGATTCCTGCTCCTGGAACTGGTGCTCCAGAACATAACCAGGGTGGGGGGACATTCTGCTCTGAGGCAATTAGAGGCAACAATAAGCCAGCAGCACAGTAGGAAACAAGGCTGATGAAAGTACAAAACTGGCTTGAGAGCGGACCATCCCCTGCAGGAATCCTTCTTCCTTCCGAGATGTATGCTCAGGTGCCCTCAGTCTCCTGGCACAGTGAGTTTGCCAAAAATGGGTGACAGAAAAAGCTAAATCTGTGCCTTATGCTCCCAGGTTCTCCATGAAAGCATAAGGGACCAGCTGAAAGCCCTTTGCACCTAAATATTGTGAAGAAAATGAAGGGTTCTGTAAATCCAGGTCAGGTTGGATGTTGCTGTTTCTCAGCCACGACTTCCTGTGTCCACGCGCAAATCGCATTTTAGGGAAGAGATTATCCCTGTGTTTATAAAAGCAACTTGTACTCACCTACGGTGACATGGTGTGGTCTGACGAGGTCCAGGCAGTGAGCAGCAGTGACCACCCAGCGACTGCTGATTAAACTCCCTCCACAGAATCCAATATCGTGACTATTCCGGATCAAAACCTGTGTGAAAGATGAAGGAGGCCGTGTCGCCAGGGCTGTGTGAGGTACGCACGCACGTGGTCCGTCTCTCGCCGGTGGGCTGCCAGCTTTGTAGCTTGAAAAATAACACCTCTGCCAGGAACGAGCACAGTGCACTAAGCACAGATGCTGTTAGAAGGGTTAGTAAAAATGAAACAACTGCACATCTCTGACAATGGAGCAGAATATTGTGCTCACCTAAGCTTGACAAAATCAAATAGGAGTAGAGCTATGGGGACAGCCATTCTTCTAAGAAAGTATGTATGACTGATTTTTTTTTCATGGTG